ATTTGTAATCAATATCCTAATATAAAACAATCATCAGGGGCCTAAACCCCTAAACAATAGTTATTGCATGGAGACCACGGTCAAAAAACGACGTGATTTTGCTTAATTTTATTTTTTCGTACGCCCATCTGTAATATACATTTTTATAATTCATAATATTCGTTATTTGTATCGACCACGGTCCAAAAACAACGTAGTTTTGTTTAGTTTTATTTTTTTATACGTCCATCTATAACATACATTTTTATAACTCATAATATACGTTATTTTAAAACATAATATACATTATTCTAAAGCATAATATACATTATTTTAAAATGTAATGTACATTATGTTACCCTAAATATTTCATTATTCTAAACACGTTATGTACATTATTTTAACAAATAATGTACATTATTCTAACACATAGTATATATTATTCTAACACATAATGTATATTACTTTTACTCATAATATTAACGATAATATTTTAGACCGTGATCTACATAGCTGTGTAGATCATATTTCACACAATAATTTACTCGAGCTTAAAGCTACCCTCTATAGTTAAGGTTTGCTCATAACATCTCCTCATCTGATAAAAAAAAAAAATCATCATATGTAATAGAGTATGATACGTATATAAAAAATATTATATGCAATTCTAATACTAGTATAATACTCCGTACCACTTCTATCCACTTTATTACTTTTGTCCTAAAACAATAAAAAATGCACTGCATTTTCCCCTTACCCAAACACAGCTCCCTCAAATTCGCTTTTCCCACTTTCGCACGATTTCCAAAATGGTTTCATGTTTTTTTTTTTAATATTACATAGATTCTCAAAATTCTACTTCCTCATTTATATTTTTTGAGGTGTCAAATCATAATTGGTTATTTTTATAATGTGAGTCCACAGAAAAATATTTACATCAAAAACATATGAGAGAGAATACAAGTTAGGAGTTTAAAATGGAAGTACATTAAGTATTTTTTTTGAATGAAAAAAAAAAATGGAACGTCCTATCAGTTCAAACATCACTGTCCAAAGCAGCCTTGTTTGAAGTGAAGATGCTGCTTCGATAAGTCATCATCTTGGGCCCGCATCGCAGGGATTCGATTGGAGTTCTTTTTATTCGTGGTGATTGATTTTTGCTTTTTTCTGAAGATTCGCCCATCCTTCTTTGTAAAAAATATCATCTTGGGCCCGCATATTTGTAAAACATAATTATAATTCATCCATCCCATTTTACATGTTTTAATTCTCCAAATTCTAGTACATATATTCTCAAATTTTACTCTATTTGCTTTAGTGCATAATGTAGCAAACTAGGATATGATATTTTCATTATGTGAGTCCCAAGAAAAATGTGTACATCAAACATTTGTGAGAAGAGAGTAAAAATTGGAAGTAAGAAGTGGGAGTACATGTAGTACTTTCTTACTTCTCATTTCAATTTGTCTCAAAATAGTGTCATCTTTCTAAAATTGAATACAATTATCATTTTACATTTCTCACTTTACTCTTTCGACTTTTTCAAATTTCTAGACAATTAAAAACGGTAAATATAATTGTACTTTGTACAAATGATCTGTATTGTAAAAATCCCTCGTAAGCATCGAGTCATTGGCACCTAGGCGCTAGTCAGCCACCTAATGTATCACCGTAATCGGTGATCTAGATAGTTGGCCGGTCGGAGCGCCGCCTAAGCGCTGACCGCCTAGCTTCCTAGGCGCCGACTAGCTAGGCCTCCAAGGTACTGAATAGGCCGGTTAGGTCCCCTAGTCGGCCCATTAGCTATTGTTCCTTTTTTTCATAATTGGTTATTTCACTTAAAACGGCACCGTTTTGAGCAAAATAATCTTAAATTGTTCAAACTCTAGATGTTTTTAGGTTAATATTTAATATTTCAGTATTAACCATTAAAGTATTAAATAGTTTATAATTATCAAGTCTTAAAAAATTAAATAATTTTTTTAAAAATATAAAATACACGGTTGCCTAGGCGTCGATTAATCGCCCCCGAGCGCTTGAGAAGAGCCTAAGGATTTTTTTTTTTTTTTTTTTTTTTTAAACTATGCAAATGATATTTACTTTTGAGAGACAAAATTGAAAAGTTAATTATATTTGTTTTCTTGCATTAAAAATAGTGAAAAAGCAAATGTAAGCAGCAATTAGGAACAGAATGATTAGTATTTAAATCTTGCCAAGTAAACATGATTGATAATAGCGATTAAAATATATTATTATAACTAAGAGATTAAAATGTAAATTTGAAAAACTTAGTTCTTACATAATATCATTGCCTGGTAAAAAAAAAAAATGAAGCTTACACGAATTTTTGTTCGTTTTCCTCATGTGTGGATGAGAGATGATATAAGAGAGAACAAATTCACATTCTGCTTAAATGTAAGTTTTTATCAACTCATAGTTGGTTCTTAATTAGCGACCACACTTAAATTTTTGTTTTCTTTTTAGTTCTCTTCCTTCCAACTCATACAAATTTGTATAAATAAATAAATTTAAATTTTACTATTAAGTTTGCTCTAAGACCTTCTCCAGTAAAGGCGGTAAACAGCAAAGTGGCGCCCAATTTGGCGCTGAACCTTCTCCAATGAAAGCGCTAAATTGTGTGCCATTTTGGCGTTTGTCTACAGTGCAGTGCCATATTTGGCTGTAGCTTTACGCCAAAATGGTGTAAACCATTTTAATTTCAATTTTGTCCCTTGTCTTTTTTATTAATTCATTTTGTATCCTTATTTTATTTTTATGGATTTATATATTTTATTAAATACATAAACACAAAATTTGAATAATTAAAAATAAATTATACCATTTGAAAGATCTCATCAAAACAATTAAAACAAGCCTAATATTATATATAGATTAATTAAAATTAAAGTACATAAAATATAATTTTCATAATATTAAACTGAATACATCCAAAATTAAACAAAACATACTTAAAATTAATACTTAATAGTCTCCAAGACCACCCCCTCTATATATTTGCTCGTTAGTTCTCTTTGCAACAATTTGCAGTTGCTCATTCCTTATATAGACCCTTAAGGATAGGCCATACGTACGTGATCAAATCCAAACCCCCTTTGAAATTTGGCATCTTGTGACAATAAATCTTTTGCTCTATCTAGCTGTTATAATTTATAAATCATAAATATAAGCAAGTAAATAACAAATATGTACAAACTACTCCCAATTTAAGCAAATGACTAATAAAACATATATAAAGTACTCACAATATCTTGTTCAGACGCTCCGATTGGATTCATGTTTTCAATTTGGCGGATGCATCCTCTTAATTTTGAAACAACTGCCATTATATTTTGCATGCGAGTTTGTAGAGATCTCCAAGGTCGAATATTACCATTATTTGCTGGTAGCATTTGATGGTACTCAATCCCAATACGAGTCCAAAATTCTTGTTGTGTTTGATTCTTACCAATTCTAGGATTTTGGTTAATATCACAATACACATGACATAGAAGTTGATCTTCGTCGATTGATCAGTATGATGCAGTTTGGGTTGTGCATGAGCTCGACATTTTGCAAAGAGAATGGAGAGGTGTTGCAAAATCAAAGAGGGGGTTTGAGAAACCAAAGAGTGGTGGTTTACTTTGGCAATCCAAGTGTAGTATTTATAGATGAAAACACTCATGATAAAATTTGTGATAAGATTTCATATCTTTCGTTAGAATGTGTGTTGGAAAGATATCCATACCAATTAACGATTAAGATTGTTGAGATTTAATCCAACGGTTGAAAATACTTCTGCTAAAGTTTGTGATAAGATTTCATATCTTCCGTTGGAATGTGTGTTGGAAAGATATGCATACCAATGAGTGGTTAAGATTGTTGAGATTTAATCCAACGGTTGAAAACACTTCTACTAAAGACAGAGAAGCGCATTATGCCGTAATGCATTAATTGGGCATATGTGGAAACTATATGGTAATTTTGAAATTAAATGCAATAGTTGTTATATGTTATATTATTGTGGAATAAAAATATTATTTGCATTACAATTAAATTTTATAATAAAAATATTAAAGTAAAAAATTAATGTTTTAATTTATGAGAAAACAAATTATTTTAGTGTAGAAATAGAATTTGGTGTAATGTATTGGTGATAAATTTGGTGTAAAAATATGCTAAAAATATTTCTTTTAGTATAGAATTTGGTGTAATGAGTTGGAGATAGCCTAAAAACTTCAACACTATCTCCTAGCCACCTCATTTTCTCTTACTTCTTTAACAGCAAAAATATAATTCACCCAAAACTCCATTGAAATTATTCTAAACTTATACTTTTTCATTATTAATTCATGAATAATCCGGATTCCATCAAATCTATTTCTCAATTGAACCAATCCATCCGTATTTGAACCCATGATCTACCTCTGATGCCATTTGTAAAATTAAACGTTTACTACTAATTAAGCAACACCTTGTAATCAAGGCGCAACTTTATTTACTTGTATCGTTACATTCCTAAAATATAAAAAAAAATAAAAAAAAAACATCATGGTGAACTTGACCTTTCAAACCTCCTCCCAACAATTTTTAGTTTAGCCACCTTGTGTTTGAACTTGGCCTTTATCCGCGCCCATCCAATAAGATAGGCAATAGTTATTGCGTGGACCATGGTCCGCACAACTGAATGGACCACAGTCCGAAAACAACATCGTTTTGTGTAATGTTATTTCACGTGACCCACTGTAACATACATTTTTATAATTCATAACATACTTTATTCTAATGCATAATGTACATTATTCTAACTCATAAAGTATATATTACCCAAGAAGTTTTATTATTCTTAACAATAATATACATTATTCTAACCAATAAAGTATATTATTCTAATTCATAATGTATATTATTCTTAACTCATAAAATTCAACGTCATTTTGAACCGTGGATCAGACAGCTGCGTGTACCGTATTTGCCATAGGATAGGTGATAATACCAATAAATCCATTAATCGTTAGGTATGAGACACATCCCCACACTTCGCGCCTATTAAATCCTTGCCAGGTTCGTGGCTCAGTGGCTCTCCCCTTATCTCATCTTCTTACAGAATCGTAATACACATTTTCAAGACATGAATTTAATGGAGACTCCGCTTTTATTCTTATCTCTCTTTCTCTTCTCCGCCTTGCTTTGCGAGGCAGCACAGAAACCCCCCGCGGTGCTCGACACCGACGGAAAGGCCGTCCAAAGCGGTGTGAAGTACTACGTTGTCCCAGTGCAGCCGAAACAGGGAGGAGGGCTCGATCTAGCCTCCACCGGCAAAGAGACCTGCCCGAAGAGCGTCGTCCAAGTCGCCCCAAAAGTGGCCGGCGACTCGGTATCGTTCTTCCCCGTGAAACCCAAAGGCGCGGTTCGCAATGGGACGGATCTCAACGTCGTGTTCTCTGGCTCAAACACGGGATGCCAGGAGTCTACTGTCTGGCAAATCGCACACGATCCAGAAAACGTTGACGTCGTTCAGTACGTGTTGAGCGGTGGAGATAAGGGGAACCCGGGTTCTTCCACGGCGAGAAGCTGGTTCATGATTCTGAAGACCAAGAATGGTTACAAGTTTAACTTTTGTCCGTATTCCTTGTGCGACTGCAACCCTGTTTGCCAAGATATTGGCATTAAGGTCGAGAACGGACACAGGCGTTTGGTAGTAGACAGTTCCCTTCCCCCTTTGGAGGTCAACTTTAAGAAGGCTTAAATGTTCCATCTATATATGTGCTAGCTGATCCTAAGTTATCTTAGCGATATGGATCTAGACATGTAGTGTTACAATAAACCATCCTCAAGAGAAAACTCGTCATTGGAGTGCTAGTAATTGGCTTGTTGTGGGAAATATCATATCCAATGATTAAATATGTTAATCAACTATGCATAAAATATTTTTTAAGCGTCCCATTATTTTTACTTTAGGTCCCATTATTTTTACTTTAGGCCTGTGTGTCATTGTTTCTACTTTAGATTTATGCGTTACTTTTTTAGTTCTAGTTTGCGGACTTATGTGTCTCCTTACAGCTTCCTTGGCATTTGAGTCGTTTCTATCATTCTGGCATACTTTGAGAGTTGTTGTTTTGTAACCAAATTTTGACAAAATTGGGACATTCTTGTTTACGGGCTATTTTGTGTTTGTGCATTGGGCAAGTCCCTTTTCTTGTTTAGACTAGGTTTAATTTTATGTAAGTTTAATTTGTCTAACTGTTGGCAAATATTTACTTTTATTACTTAGACACTTGCTTGTTGATTTTGGGTGGGTTAGTTTCTCTTGGACTTGAGACCTACTCTCAGCTCCTACTTGTATATATTGTTTTTTATTTTTGAAACAAGCACTTTATTTATTAATTAAAAGGAATAAGGGTGAAATAGGCTATCGAACCGCACACGATAATGCAATTAGGCCATTGAACTCAAAAAAACTACAATTGAGTCCCTAAACTAACACATTTCAAGCAATTTGTCTAATTTGTAGGTTTTCCCCCTTTTTACCAGGTCACCTAATTTAAAATATTTTTAAAAATAATAATTAATTTTTTAAAAAAAAACAAACAATAATTAATTAAAATAAGCTAAAATAAAAAAAAGTAAAATAAAAAGAAAAAAAGAACTTCATCTCAGCAGAGACGTCTCCGGCCATGGCTATGGCGTCTTCTCTTTGTCTCTCACTCTCTGCTCTCTGATCTCTGCTCACTGTGCGAAGGCAAAGGCGCCAAGCGAAAGAGGGAATTGGGGAACGCTGGAACTGCCGACTGCGAACTTCGAGTCTCCGACCAGCGGCCGGCGACCTGCGCGCTGCCAGTGCGGTTTGGCCTTCTCCAGTTCTCCCGGTTTCTCTGCGAAGTCAAAGCGGAAGTTCGGAACTGCCGACTGCAAACTCCAAGTCTCCTCCGACGACCTGCGCGTTGCCAGCTCCGGTCTCTCTCCCTACTGGCTACTCCGGCGGAGACGATTGTTTATTTATTTATTTATTTATTTATTTATTTATTTTAGTTTATTTTAATTAATTATTGTTTTAAAAAAATTATTTTTAAAAAATATTTTAAGTTGGTGACCTGTTAAAAATATGGAAAACCTGCTAATTGGACAAATTGCTTGAAATAGGTTAGTTTAGGGATTCAGCTTTTTTGAGTTCAGTGGCCTAATTGCATAATGGTGTACGGTTGGATGACCTATTTGACCCTTATTCCTAATTAAAATAAATAAGTACAAATAACTGGAGAGAATTGATGACAAACCCTCTAGAACAAGAAAATGCCTAAGTCTATACACAGTACCTAAGCTAATACATCACTTAGAGCATTCCCCCATGGAGCATCCATAGTAGTAAAGTTTTTTTTTGCGATTTTTGAGGAGTTTTTGTAAGTGTGTTAGTTTAGGAAAGAGAATATGGGAAGGGGAGAAAAAAGAATATAAGAAAGAAAATATGACAGCGTGCCTGACGCACCATCGGGCACGTGCATTGCACGCGCCCGTGTGGCCTCCTGCTGTGCGTGAAACGCACACAACAGGTAATAATTTCAAAAAAAATAAAATTTTGTTCCAATATTCATCCTTTGGAGAAGAACCCAAATCACTCTCTCTCCATTTTCTCTCCCCTCCACATCTCCATTTACTATTCCAATAACCCCATATTAACTACTGATAGGGATGCTCTTAGGGGGATTATTCTCAGTTTTTGAAATAGTAAAATATTGCTTGCACAAATGGGGGTGATGGTTTTTGGAGAAATCTTTCTCCTGCAACACCCCATATTTTGTCAGAGCGAGTGAGTCGCGCAAGTGCATCTCACCCTGCGCCCCAGCGGGCGCGTGTGTTACACATACCCGCTAGGGCGATTGAGAGTGGCTGCCTAGTGGCCACTCTCAGTTGAAGTTTGTTTTTTTATTTGTTTTTTTTTTTTTTTTTTTTAATCTAGCCAATGGACAGTTTCTTTGTTCTTTTTGTTTTTTGTTTTTTGTTTTTTGTTTTGTTTTGTTTTTGTTTTTTTTTTTTGTTTTTGTTTTTGTTTTTTTTTTTGTTTTTGTTTGTTTTTGTTTTTGTTTTTTTTTTTTTTTTTTTTTTTTTTTTTTTTTTTTTTTTTTTTTGTTTTAAGTTTTACATGTTGAATGTTATTATTAAATTTTTATGTGACAAAATTATAATTTAATAAAACAAATTGAAAAGTTTATAATTATAAATTTATTTTAATTTTTTTATGTGTAATTTAAACGCAATAAAAATAATAATTGTAATAATAATTTTTATAATATTATTTTAATTAAGTTTCCAACAAATGAAAGCTTTGCAATTTTAGGTGTATATATGTTACGTATGTTAATTATTTATGTTTATTTTACAACTACAAATTTATAAATCAAATAAATAATGAAATAATTAAAATATAGTTGAGATAAAATGGTGGGTCCATAAAAAATCTATATCTATATATATATAAAAACAAAATCCTCCTATTTCATTTGGAAGATTATGAGTTCGAGCCTCAGTGGAGGCGTTATTGGTTCTCTGTGTTTTTGAGAAAGTATATAAACAGATACTACAATGTAATAGAGCCAGTAGCTTTCAAAAAATTTTTCCGCTCAAACTTTTGTAGTAAAACTTATTTGGTAAGTAAATGTAAAATGGAAATTAATTAAAAATCATTAATTGGTAATATTACATGATTATACTTTTCCTTTTTGAAAAATCATACAAGTTTATAATTATCATATTTTCTACCTATAAATACAATGGATTGGTGAGTTTGGAAATCATAATTTTTTATTTTGCACTATTTCCCTCTTTTTCCTGTTCTCTCTATGAAATCATATCTTGGTGTTGTACTCATGAAAACGTAAGTATTTTTTTTTTTTTTTTACAGTTTTCAAAATTATTATTATTATTATTATTATTATTATTATTATTATTATTATTATTATTATTATTATTATTATTATTATTTTGCAATTGTAGCTTGAAGTGTTTTTAGTGCCGAAGGATCCAACGGATTGAGCGTTGATGGAGACTCTGGTAATTAGCTATGGTAGATTGGTACCGTCTGTTAATCCCTTATTTTGTTCCCTCCGGAATATTTGCTTTCAAATTTTTAGTTTTTGTTAGGTTTCTCTGTATGCAGAAGCCAGAGATTATTCCAACAACTTTAGTGTAAATCATTAGTTTTATTTTATTACTCTCTCATTTTAAATGTCAGCTTTGGATTCAATGCAAAATGAGTAGATTTTTCTTATGTCAGTTGTATTATTGAAACAACGTCTTTTCAATTCGGTTGATCTGTAGATCAGCAAATATGCTCCCGAATATTCGCAATTTGATTTTTTAATTTAGAGTTTTTATATTCTTTATATGGATAGCAATTCAACCCTGATGGTGTGGGGAATGGGGAGAATTTCTTCATCTCCGTGTTGGGACGGGGAGGCCGCATCCCTTGCCCTAAACTCATATCACGTCCCCGATTCACTGAATAATATTATATTGTATATAAAATTATAAAATAATAATTTTTTTAAAAAAAAAAAGTCTCAATATTAAATTTTTACAATATTATATTTCTCTATTAAATTTTTGAATCTCTCTGTTAATTTGGTTTTCATTGCTCATGACAAATCTTAATTGACCCATAAACTACGAAAAAGACACATGTTGAAGATTATATTATGGCTTTTACGTATCATGGCACCTTGATACATATGAATATAAAACATGTTCTCTCTCATAATAAGGATACAAGTAAAAAAGGAAAATCATATCAAAAATTACTAATTAATAATAATAAGGATATGGAATTAAATTAATAATAATAATAATAATAATAATAATAATAATAATGATAATGATAATAATGTATACTATTAATAAAAATAAAATCCTCTTGTGTAGTTTCCAGTTTGATGTGGTATCTTGATTTCCTGCAAATTAAAATGGATGATTAGGAAAATGAAGATGATAGTATTCAAATAAAAAATGAAGGTGAATATAGATTTGATTATAGATGAAAATAATATGTGATTGTGTTGAGGCATGAAAGAAAATTATTTTTTTAATTAGGTAATTTTTATTTTAGAATATCTTACTATTTACTACAAAGTCTATATACTGTAACATGTTTTTCTATTTTATGTAAAAATACTATAATGTAATTGAATTTTTATTATTAAGATATACATTTATATAATTTCTATAGTCTATCTAAACTCTTATTAAAAACAAAATCATCCTTCATTGCATTCCCGCCGAAAGAATAGAAAAGGAAAAAAGTTACTAATTAATAATACTAATAATAATCAGTAAAAATGTTAGCAGTAAAATAGGAAAATAAAAAAAAGATCTTTAATTCACGGAAAATGGAATACTAATAATAATCAATAAAAAAGTTAGCAGTAAAAATAAGAAAATAAAAAAAACATCCGTAATTCACTGAAAATATACAAGGAAACAGAATTCAATGATTAATTAATTAATAACAATAATAATAATAATAAATAAAATAGGAAAATAAAAAAGGATCCTTAATTCATTGAAAATGGAAAAGAAAACGCAAGACTGTGGGAAAAAAAAAGAGAGGTCATAATAAGGATACAAGTAAAAAGGAAAATCATATCAAAAATTACTAATTAATAATAATAAGGATATGGAATTAAATTAATCTTAATAATAATAATAATAATAATAATAATAATAATAATAATGTATACTATTAATAAAAATAAAATCCTCCTATGTAGTTTCCAATTTGAGTGGTATCCTGATTTCCTATAAATTAAAATGGATGATTAGGAAAATGAAGATGATAGTATTCAAATAAAAAATGAAGGTGAATATGGATTTGATTATAGATGAAAATAACATGTGATTGTGTTGAGGCATGAAAGAAAATCATTTTTTTTAATTAGGTAATTTTTATTTTAGCATATCTTACAATTTACTACAAAGTCTATATACTGTAACATGTTTTTCTATTTTATGTAAAAATCATATAATGTAATTGAATTTTTATTATTAAGATATACATTTATATAATTTCTATAGTCTATCTATAATCTTATTAAAAACAAAATCCTCCTTCCTTGCATTATCTGCCGAAAGAATAGAAAAGGAAAAAAGTTACTAATTACTAATACTAATAATAATCAGTAAAAATGTTAGCAGTAAAATAGGAAAATAAAAATAGATCATTAATTCACGAAAAATGAAAAAAAAAATGAAATTCATTGATTAATTAATACTAATAATAATCAGTAAAAAAGTTAGCAGTAAATATAAAAAAATAAATAAAATCCGTAATTTACTTAAAATAGAAAAGGAAACAGAATTCAATGATTAATTAATAATAACAATAATAATAATAATAATCAGTAAAATAGAAAAATAAAAAAGGATCCTTATTTCATTGAAAATGGAAAAGGAAACGCAAGATTGTGGGGAAAAAAGAGAGGTCATAATAATAAGGATACAAGTAAAAAAGGAAAATCATATAAAAAATTACTAATTAATAATAATAAGATATGGAATTAAATTAAATTAATAATAATAATAATAATAATAATAATAATAATAATAATAATAATAATGTATACTATTAATAAAAATAAAATCGTCCTATGTAGTTTCCAGTTTGATGTGGTATCGTGATTTCCTGCAAATTAAAATGGATGATTAGGAAAATGAAGATGATAGTATTCAAATAAAAAATGTAGGTGAATATGGATTTGATTATAGATGAAAATAACATGTGATTGTGTTGAGGCATGAAAAAAAATAATTTTTTTTTAATTAGGTAATTTTTATTTTAGCATATCTTCATATTTACTACAAAGTCTATATACTGTAACATTTTTTTCTATTTTATGTAAAAATCATATAATGTAATTGAATTTTTATTATTAAAATATATATTTTTTAAATTTCTATAGCCTATCTATACTCTTATTAAAAAAAAAAACAAAATCTTCCTTCCTTGCATTCCCGCCCAAAGAACAGAGAGGGGAAAAAGTTACTAATTAATAATACTAATAATAATCAGTAAAAAAGTTTGCAGTAAAATAGGAAAAAAAAAGATCCTTAATTCACGAAAAAATAAAAAGAAACAAAGTTCACTGATTAATTAATACTAATAATAATCAGTAAAACAGTTAATAGTAAAATAAAAAATAAAAAAGAATTCATAATTCACTAAAAATAGTAAAGGAAACGGAATTAACTGATTAATTAATAATAATAATAATAACCAGTAAAATATGAAAATATAAAAGGATCCTTAATTCGTTGAAAATAGAAAAGAAAATGCAATATTGTCAAAAGAAAAGGCGCGAGGGGGAGGGGGGGGGGGGGGGGGGGGCAATAATAAGGATACCAGTAAAAATGGAAAATCCTATAAAAAAATTACTAATTAATAATAATAAGGATATGGATTTAAATTAATAATAATAATAATAATAATAATAATAATAATAATAATAATAATAATAATAATAATAATAATGTATACTATTAATACAAATAAAATCCTCCTATGTAGTTTTCAGTTTGATGTGATATCCTGATTTCTTACAAATTAAAATGGATGATTAGGAAAATGAAGATGATTGTATTCAAAAAAAAAAAAGAGGTGAATATGGATTTGATTATAGATGAAAATAATATGTGATAGGGTTGAGGCATGAAAGTAATCATTTTTTTTTTTAAATTAGGTGATTTTTATTTTAGCATATCTTTCTATTTACTATAAAGTCTATATACTGTAACATGTTTTTCTATTTTATGTAAAAACCATATAATGTAACTGAATTTTTATTATTAAGATATATATTTATAAAATTTCTATGGTCTATCTATACTCTTATTAAAAACAAAATCCCCCTTTCTTGCATTCTCGCCCAAAGAATAGAAAAAGAAAAAAGTTACTAATTAATAATATTAATAGTAATCAGTAAAAAGTTAACAGTAAAATATGAAAATAAAAAAAAAATCCTTAATTCACGGAAAATGGAAAAGAAAATGAAATTCACTGATTAATTAATACTAATAATAATCAGTAAAAAAGTTAGTTGTAATATAAGAAAATAAAAAAGAATCTGTAATTCATTGAAAATAGAAAAGGAAACAGAATTCACTGATTAATTAATACTAATAATAATCAATAAAATAGGAAAATAAAAAATGATACTTAATTCATAGAAAATAAAAAAGGAAAGGCAAGATTGTGCAAAAAAAAAAGGTCATAATAAGGATATCAGTAAAAAAAGAAAATCCTATAAAAAATTACTAATTAATAATAATAAGGATATGAAATTAAATTAATAATAATAATAATAATAATAATAATAATAATAATAATGTATACAATTAATAAAAATAAAATCCTCCTATGTAGTTTCCAGTTTGATATGATATCCTGATTTTCTAAAAATTAAAATGGATGATTAGAAAAATGAAGATGATAGTATTAAAAAAAAAAGGTGAGTATAGATTTGATTATAGATGAAAATAATATGTGATTGTGTTGAGTCATCAAAGAAAATTATTATTTTTTAATTAGGTAATATTTATTTTAGCATATCTTACTATTTATTATAAAGTCTATATACTGTAACATATTTTTCTATTTTATGTAAAAACCATATAATGTAATTGAATTTTTATTATTAAAATATATATTTATAAAATTTCTATAGTCTATCTATACTCTTATTAAAAACAAAATCCCCCTTCCTTGCATTCCCGCCCAATGAATTGAAAAGGAAAAAAGTTACTAATTAATAATACTAATAATAATCAGTAAAAAAGTTAGCAGTAAAATTAGGAAAAAGAAGATCCTTAATTCACGAAAAATAGAAAAAAAAAATGAAATTCACTGATTAATTAATACTAATAATAATTAGTAAAAAAGTTAGCAGTAAAATAAGAAGAAAAAAAAAAGAATCCGTAATTCACTTAAAATAGAAAAGGAAACGGATTGACAGATAAATTAATACTAATACTAATCACTAAAAAAGTTAGCTTTAAAATAAGAAAATAAAAAAGGATCCTCAATTCATTGAAAATGGAAAAGGAAAGGCAAGATTGTGCCAATAAAAAGGGGGGGGGGGGGGGGGGGGGCATAATAAGAATACCAGTAAACAAGACAAATTCTATAAAAAATTATTAATTAATAATAATAAGGATCTCGAATTAACTTAATAATAATAATAATAATAATAATAATAATAATAATAATAATAATAATGATGTATACTATTAATAAAAATAAAATCCTCCTATGTAGTTTCCAGTTTGAAGTAATATATATATATATATATATATATATATATATATATATATATATATATATATATATATATATTTATAAAATTTCTATAGTCTATATATACTCTTATTAAAAACAAAATGATCATTCCTTCATTCCCGCCCAAATAATAGAAAATGAAAAAGTTACTCCGTTCTAATTAATAATACTAATAATAATCAGTAAAAAAGTTAGCAGTAAAATAGGAAAAAAAAAATCCTTAATTCACGGAAATGGAAAAGGAAATTAAAAAAAAAAAGATCCTTATTGTTCTAAACGTTGCTTCAAGTGGAATAGCATCTTTGCTATTGCCGGGTGGCAGGACGGCGTATTCTCGATTTGCTATACCACTTTTAGTGAATGAAGATTCTACCTGCAATATCGCGCAAGGTAGTGACATTTGCGAACTTATAATTAGGAGCAAATTGATAATATGGGATGAAGCACATATGACACACAAATACTATTTTGAGGCTTTAGACAAAACCATGAGGGATATATTGAGATTCACCATACCTGGTAGTGATCAGAAAACATTTGGTGGAAAGACATTAGTATTGGACGGTGATTTTAGACAGATTCTTCCAGTTATTCCAAAAGAAACGAGACCAATGGTTGTGGGAGCCACTATTAATTCTTCATACCTCTGGAGGAATTGCAAGGTATTGAGACTCACGAAGAACCTGAGACTACAGAGCTTAGCTTCAAACAAAGATAGACAGACAGTTGATTGGTTCTCAAGATGGATTGCAGACATCGGAGATGGGATTACAGGGTTTGTAAACAATGATTTGTTTGAGATCGATATTCCACCAAGGTTTATGTTGAAGTGTGGACCTGATCCAATTGCAACTATAATTGAAAGCATCTTCCCAACCGCGAAGTATAGAATGCTAGAAGAGTCGCACCTAGAAGGACAAGTGATCCTCTCACTGACTTTAGATGTTGATCAAATTAATCAGTATATGTGTGACATGAACACTGCAGAAGGTCAGACGTATTTAAGTTGTGACTCTTTGTGTAAGGGAGAATCAGATGGTGATAATCTCTCACAAGTACACACTCCTAAATTTTTAAATAGCTTGAGATTGTCTGGACTTCCTAATCATTGACAATAAAGGTTGGTGCACATGTTATGTTACTGCGGAACATAGACCACTCTCTTGGTCTTTGCAACGATACGCGCCTCATCGTTACAAGATTGACGGATCATATTGTCGAATCAAGAATAGTTAATGGAACGCAGCAAGGAAACAAAGTTCTTATACCACGAATGTCTCTCACCCCTTCTGATACGAGATTGCCGTTCAAGTTACAGCGTAAACAATTCCCGTTGATGCTAGCATATGCAATGAATATCAACAAAAGCCAGAGTCAAACACTAACTCACGTTCACTTATTGTTAAAAAACCAGTCTTTAATCACGGTTAATTGTACGTGGCTTTTTCCAGAGTCACTCATCCTGATGGCCTTAAGGTTTTAGATCTAAACGAGGATGGACAAACTTCTGTTACTACTACTAATGTCGTCTACATAGAGATTTTCAACAATGTGTAATTCAAAACAGTTATATTATGTATTCTTCTTGCACCAATATAACAAAATTGTTACATATCCACATATTACGTATATATTCCGTTACAAAAATTTCTATAGCTAAATTACTACATATAAAGATAATGAGACCAATTAATTCAATTTCGAAACATTCATACAAACCTTAATTCAACGTTACAATTTACACTATTGAATATGAAGTAAATTATAATTCATATATTATAACGAGTACATTCCGTGCATCGCACGGGTGCAAATACTAGTTGAGAAAAAAAATCTAAAACTAATGGGGGGAGGGGGGCAAGGGTTTTTGTGATTGAGTGAGATAGTGGGGCATTTTGTGCTATAAGTGGAGTCCTTTGAGCCTATTTTGTGCTTAAATTGATAGAAATTAGAATTAAGGACTAATTGTGTTGCCTTTCTAGAAAAGAGCAAAAACATTGTCATTTACAGGGCATTCCGTCGATAGTTCGGTAGATTGATCATATCTTGAGCTAGGAGTGTCCAAATGAGGTGATTCAAGTGGCTATGGTTCGGAAACTTCAGGGGCTACAACTTTGCAAAAGAAAAGAAGAGCAAATTCCAACGCACATGCTCCCACGCACGTTGTGAAGTGCGTTGTTGGGAAACTGAAAGTTCCACACATTCCACAATGCGCGTTGTGGCGTGTTGTGCAGTTCAGCGCGGAAATTTCAGGATTTAGTCTATTTAAAAGGCTAGTTACGAGACTACTTCATCACCAATCACTTTCCCCCTTTAGAAATCAGATTTTAGCACTCTTAGTTAGGGTTCTTAAGATATATTTAGATTTCTTTCATCATCTATCATTTCAATTTGTAATTTCTCCCAATTAGTAGATTAGATTTCTCTTTCTAGAATCTAGGTCATCTCTAGCCTATTCCATTGTTGAAGAACTCTTAGAGAAAAAGATTGACAACCTTCAATTCAAGGGACAATTGTAGAAGTGATCAACTATTGCAATCTAATTTGGTATTCTCTTATTGCTTTCATCTTCTAATTGTTAATTGATTTCATATTGCAATGTTGATTTACTTAGCTATGCTTGGCTAGAATCCTTTGTGAATTGGATCTTATTCTCTTGTGTTGAATGTGATTGATCTATGGATTTGTGATGATGTGCTTGTTGCCTTGTTGTAAAAGGACCTAGTATGGACTAATTAATTGGATGTGAGTGCACCACATTCATGTAGGTTTGAGAAGGATTGAGCTAACAAGAGATTGTAGCTTGATCCTAAGCTTCTCCTTTTGCAATTCCCCTCTCAAGGAATCCTACGGGACTTGGAGCGGAATGAGATGTAGACAAGGTGTTTGTAAGAATGTTCCTTAGGACCATGGTCACGGAATGGTGCTCCATACCAAGGAAATGCCTAGTAACTCGAGAGGTGAATGGTATTGGGAGTCATCTAACGTAGGCTATGCACCACTAGTTGCACTCCTAGGTTGATTCACTTCACACACACAAGGGATAGGAATCCAATTCACCTAACACCATCCTAACTAGTTTCATTTCTTTGCCTTGCATTCTTCCTCCTTACACAATGATTTCAACTAGCTTCCCGTTCCAATTGTGGACTTGTGTTTGACCTCACGGCATTTGATTCTGATTTTCCATCCTTTGAGAACGTGATACGCCCTTAAATGTAATTATATAAGTTTCTAGAATTTGTAGGATAATTAGGATTGTATAACTTAATTAGTGATAGAGTTAATATTGTGCCTAAATTAGCATAGGAAAATTATATTTATGTATATCATAATAATATATCATTACCTTGTATAGTTACTATAATTTTGGTAGGTTAATTATTATAGGTATTAGTAAATTAGTATAAATAGGTTATTGTATATGAAGATGAAGAAGCAGAAAAATATATTATTATTCAAGTCTTTAGCTATTTTCTTGGAACCCTCACACGCTCGAAGTGTAAAATTGGAGTTTGCCGTGACTCGAATACGGATTGAAGCCAGAAGCCTGCTCGAAAGGTTTCTTCCGTTGCGTACTAAATCTCAGTACGTAACATTGGTGCTTTCATTGAGTCCATCGGTGAGAGTATCCCCTATTTTTTATTTTTATTGTTTTTTTTTAAACAAATAGTGAAAAAAATTGATCAAAAGAAAAAAAAAAACGAAAAAGAAAGGAGAAAACGAAGTAAAAAAAAAGGTGAAAATTTTGACCAAAAGAAAAAAAAAAACGACAAAGAAAGGAGAAAAGTAAAAAAAAAAAAAAAGAGAGGAAAAACTATTGAAAAAAGTTGCAGAAAAAATGTATTTTTTTAATATTATTATGGAAAACATTATTCATCGGTGCTTATTGGTTTCTGTACACTAAATATGGTATTTCATTGATGATTTTGTATTGTATGAGATCTTTTCTACAAAATGACTCGTACAATATATTCATATTTTAAAGGATGAGGGTCACATCTTCCAAGCTTTGGTATGGTTTGATTCCATTGTGGATTCAATCGTAGCCAAACAAGAATTCCATGGCCAAAACATTTATGAAGGGGATTGCACTATGAATATAGAATTTCCTGATGCAAAATTAATAATGGCTACCTGTGGGGAAGTAGATCATCGTCAAACTCCCACTCATCATGTGGAAATTGATGTGGAAGTAATGATTGAAAAAGAAACTGGTGATAATGTAGTAGATATATGTTCTAACTTCTAGTGCAATTGTTGGTGAGGACTATACTAATCAAGCCAATGAGGAAGAAATTAAAATTTTTACTAATGAGGAGGTAGATCATGCATCAAGTACAATGGAGGATCACATCATGGTCTGCATGGATTCAACTCAAATTGAAGCACCAATTCAAGCTAAAGCAACAACTAATCGGGTATATCAAGTCTCCCCAATTGTTTCAAGAATCAATTTTCACATCAATAGTGTCTTTGGATGAAAATTTCATCCACTCTGTAGTAGAAATGATTCTCAAATTTGTCCAAATCATGACACCGACAAGGAATTCTGTTACAAGGCAATCCAGTGCACGTGTTGTCTATGATGCATGTCCACGTTTGGTGAATCAATCCAGTTGTATCACCAAGGCATTAATATGCTCATTTTCATACCTACACCTTCAGGACAAGGTGTTTTTTGAAGGGGTGGAGAGTGATACGCCCTTAAATGTAATTATATAAGTTTCTAGAATTTGTAGGACAATTAGGATTGTATAACTTAATTAGTGATAGAGTTAATATTGTGCCTAAATTAGCATAGGGAAATTATATTTATGTATATCATAATAATATATCATTACCTTGTATAGTTACTATAATTTTGGTAGGTTAATTATTATAGGTATTAGTAAATTAGTATAAATAGGTTATTGTATATGAACATGAAGAAGCAGAGAAATATATTATTATTAAGTCTTTAGCTATTTTCTTGGAACCCTCACGTGCTCGAAGTGTGAAATTGGAGTTTGCCGCGACTCGAATACAGATTGGAGCCAGAAGCCTGCTCGAAAGGTTTCTTTCGTTGCGTACTAAATCTCAGTATGTAACAGCACGACAACCCCGGGAATCTTCACTCCCAACCTTCTTTTCACCCCACGCATACTACGACATGTCATGGAGGGTGAGATGGATATTGGGGCCTACAAAAAACTGAGAAAAAACTCCAACTATTATGAATGCCCTTAGACACAAAGCGCAAACAACTTAAGGAACAAATTAAAAGCAAAAGAATAACGGCTATAAAGATAAAGCAAGTAACCAACCGCAAACAGCATAACCACAAATCCAAGGAAGGTGCCAGGCGCCACCCCTAAGTCTGCGTCAGCTCCCATGTCGAGGCTAATCACTCCGAAGTGTACTAAGTCACCAAAATTTTATATATTAATACTACTAAACTTAATATTATAAAAAAATTGAATTAAAAATAACTTTAATCCTGCCTTATTAATCGAACTAAACATATAAAATGAGACGGATGAATTATTATTATTATTATTATTATTATTATTATTATTATTATTATATAACTTAGTACGGGGTATTTATTATTATTCTTTTTGAACTTTGCAGGAAGGAGAGGAAAATAAAAGTTGGAGGGAAAAGCGTCTCAGGTTGTTACAGGGAGTCTGATGGTTGAGAGAGAACCAGGGAGGGGAGAGTTCTTCATCAGAAATATTATTGTATTTATAATATTAAAATTCTAATAGTTAGAATAAATTGTAAAAGGAAATTGATTTAAAATTTCAAAACTAAAATCTTTCTCTAGATGAGAACATGCGCTCAGATAAGAAAAAGGAACTTATTGCAGTTGTCCATCCGGATAGATCTAACGAATCAGAAACAAATAAAATGTGGTGACATTTTGTAAATAATTTGAACTTTGAACTCCAAGAAAATTGTGTTAAATGTGCAAGTAACAATTTCATAAAGTATGTCTATGTACACCGCCACGGAGGATTCGTCGCATAGGGCCGGGGGATGATTTCCTGCTATCATCTAGTTTATTAGAAAGATTTCATACACCGCAACGAAAGATGACCAATCGTTATGCGTTGGACCCGTGTCCAGCATGCTTCATAATTTCAGACCGCTTCATTATAGGAGTATATGTTCATAATTTTATTACTATATGTTAATAACTGTACATTCATAACTCCATAACTGTACGTTCATAACTCTATAACTGTACATTCATAACTTCATAACTGTACATTCATAACTCCATAACTGTACATTCATAACTCCATAATTGTACATTCATAATTTTCGAAGCTCTATGTTCACAATTTTAGAGCTCTATGTTCATAATTTTATCACTATATGTTCATAATTGTAAGTTCATAATGTTAAAGCTCTTTGTTCATAATTCGATCAATAACTGTACATTCATAATTCCATACTGTAGATTCATAATCTCATAACTGTAGATTCATAACTCCATAACTGTAGATTCATAACTCTATAACTGTACATTCATAACTCCATAACTGTACATTCATAATCTTCGAAGCTCT